GGTGACGCAGGTAGCGGAGGGGGCGGCAGGGGGGGAGGGGGCGGGAAGGACGCCGAGAGGATCCAGCAGAGGCGAAAGGCGGCGAACAAGGCGGCGGTGGGGAACCACAACCGCAAGAACGCCGCCAGGAAGAAGGAGGCCAAGGGCATGTTCTGAGGGAGGGAAAGGCAGGCTGGCACGCCTTGGTGGTACGAAGGGATATTACGGGCCTGTTCGGAGGGAAGGCTGGCACACCTTGGGATTTAATATCGGCAGCGGAGCTATGTAGCCCCTTCGTTCGTCACCACCGACGGCCGTTGGTCACTGCTAAAACATGTAAAGTGCTGCAACGGATGTTGCATGCTCGTGTGCTGCAGCCGCGGCAGCAGCCGTCGCGGTGCGTTTGGTTGTAGAGCGGTTTAAGAACAGCGGATCGTGCTCGAGCTTGTCGTCCTACAGTAGGTAGAAGCGTTTTCGACAGCTTGGAGGACATGCCTAGAGGCTGTTTTCTGCATCATCGATGGTGTTCGAAGCTCAAAGCCCCCTACGTACTTAGGCTCAGACGTGATTCGGGAATCAGCTCACACCCGTCCCCCTCTGAAATGGGAGCCTCTGCATTTCGTTCCCCTACGCTGGGTGGGTGTGCGTGTGTGCGTATGAACGGCGACAGCACACAAAACCGCCTTTCTCGACATTTTTTCTCCTGCCTGCTATGACTTTGAGACGTGCGCGTGGAGGTCCAAGAACCAAGACGGATGTCTGTTGCCTTCCCCGGTTGGCGTTGTTCGAACGGGTTTAGTTTGGTGTGGGTTTTGCTGACAGGGACCCGCTGGGAGCTCGTGACCGAAGTTTTCGGACGGTCCGCGTATCTAGAAGCCGACATATTGTTGGGTGCAAGGTCGCTATGCGCACAGGTTCAATGATCTTTTGACAGCAGCAAGGCCCCAACGCATGTACACGGGTGCCGACGAATGGTTTTGGTTGCAAGGGTCCCTACGAACACGGGCTCATGTGCTCCTTAACAATGTGCGTGTCCACATACAAAAGAGCAGTGCTGCTTCGATCGCCGTTTCGCGTGAAGTCTGGGACCGAGGGTAGTCTCGGCCCAAGCTCCACGATGCCGTACCAGGTATGTAGGTGGCACAAGATACCACTCCCCCTGTACCGACATTGAGAGGTCGTCTACTCCCCATGACGAATGAATCGAACCGATGTTTATTTCGGATAGCTCTCGGAAGGGACGATTCCAACGCAGCCCTTCGCGGAGCACCGCCAAATGTTTCCGCCTTCGAGCAATCGGCGCGCTTTGAAAATCGGTCCAAAGGGGCATGATATCTAGTGTTCACCTTAAGGTGGATAGAGCGTATGTATGTATGCCCCTCAAGAGTGGACCGAGAAGGAGAGCATGACACGGTTAGGGCAGGACTAGGCCCAGGCCCATTCTCCTCCTTTTTTCGACAGGCTGATGCTCTTTTTTTTGTGCCAAATCTGCTCGAAAATCTGCCCGAAAGTGTCAATAATAACATGCTCATTTTGTCGCTGAACCTGCTTGATTGGGCGAATTCTGCTCGGATTCTGCTCGAAATTTCAATCTGATTTTCTGCTTTTTAACGCCCGAGCAGAATGGTCCTGGGCCTAGGCAGGACCATGCGGTTCACAGCCGATGTGGGATGCACCCTCCTTTGCCCAAACCCCCTACACGGGGCCCCTTTCTTCGCCCCCCAGAAGAAGACGACACTCACGAAAGTCACACGAGTCCCGGCGAGGGACGTACATTCCTCGCCCAAATCTTGTGCACGAGGTCACTTTTCTCCGTCTCACAACAGCTGAGCGGCGCACCTGTGTTGATGGTCCTAACAGGTCGTACGAGAGATCTTCCGGAAAAAAAAATAACAAAAAAAGTTGATATCGCTCTCCGCATGGATAGCTGGATTCATCATAGGACTAGTTGGTCACCTCTATCGTACGGCAATGCACCTTCCCATGGCGAGCACAACAAATCCGCCGAATGTTGCTCCGAAACAGCCGTTTCTTGGCGGGGAACTAATTCTGTTCTACGCCTCTATCCTAAACCCTCCAGCCCACCCCTTGTTCTCGCCCTTCTGCACGCCAACATACACCCTCCTGACCGGACACACACCAAACACCATCCAGCCGATGACGATGCGCTGCCCAATCCATCCCATGAGGGTGCGCCATGGTCACCGCACCATCTTCATGTCGCCGGGCGACATCCCCCTCTCTTGTCTCTCGCCGCTTGCCTAACGCCGCTTCCGTGTGTACGGGCATCTACACAATTTATTTCATGCGAAAGGCACACGCAAGACAACAAGAGGGCCCTGGGGGGGGG